TTTTTGTTTATTTGTTTTTAAGAGAGATCTAGACTGTTACCTAGGCTGGAGTGCAGAGGCCTATCTCACTGTAGTCTCAAACTCCTGGGCTCAGGTGATCCTCCTGCTTCAGCCTCCCTAGTAACTGGCACCACAGGTGCATGCCACGTTGCCCAGCTACTTTTTTTATTTTTTTTATGGAGACAGGGTCTCCCTGTGTTGCCCAAGCTGCTCTCAAACTCCTGGCCTCAAGCAGTCCTCCCACCTTGGTCTCGCAAAGTTCTGGGATTACAGGCATGAGCCACTGCGCCCTGTTCTGCTTTTTAACCACTCCATTGCAGCTGTTTTATATTTTCATCTTACTCCTCCCATCTCTTAAAGGCAAGTGTTTGTCAGGGTTCCCTCCTCTTCCTTTTGGTCTTCTTACACAACACACTTTCCCTCAACTTTATTTTTTTTTAATGTAATGTTTTCTTCCCATACTCATTTGTTTTATATACCCCTTGAAGTGAAGTACATACACTCTACACTCCTTTTTGGAGATAGGTGGCATAAAAGATCTTCTCCCATCTTACCTTTGCCTATTTCTAAAATCTCATTTGGCCTCAGGGCTGCTACTGGTACCCCTTTCTTTGTGACATGTTTTGATATTAAACTACTTGCTGCTACTCTTTGCTGTTTTCTGAGCATGACAGATCTTTCCCAAGCTTCTGTAGTTTTGTATGTGCTGTTTCACTTTCTGGGTATCTCATGTAACTACTGATTTCTCACCCCAGTGCCTCCCTCTCTTCCTGACAAACTTCTTAAGCATCTAGGTTTAAGTAGACTTTCTGAAGCTTTCTTTCATTCAGTTTCCATTGTGCCAACATAATGCCACAAGTGGAAAATTCCATACCTGACCTCATGTGATGAGGTGCAGTCAAAACTCAGGCGTATAACACAGTCTATTCAGAGACCCCAAGGGAAAACAGGTATTCTGGTGATGCTTCTGCACTGCTTGGTTACCCTGAGCACATTATTTTTTCACAGTTTTAGTGGTATGTCATATTTTTTAGTGTTAAGTACTTGTGTGTGAGTAAGTGGAAGAAATTGATGACTTACCGGTAGCATATAAATTCAGAGTCAGGAATCATGGTGAGGTGATGCCAAACAACCACAGATTGTCCACATGGATGGCTGAGATAGTGACACTTTTGCTTTCTGATGGTTTAGTGTACACAAACTTTGTTCCATGCACAAAATTATTAAAACTCTTGTATAAAATTACCTTCAGGCTATGCATATAGGGTGTATATGAATCATAAATGAATTTGATGTTTAGACCTGGATCCCATCCCCAAAGCATCTCACTATGTATGTGCAGATTATCCAATATCCAAAAAAATCAGACATCTGAAACACTTCTAGCCCCAAGCATTTCAGATAAGGAATGCTCAACTTGTAATTATTCATTCATCTAATCTATTTCCACTGGATCACTACTGAAACTAAGGAACAAATCTTTATATCCTTTTGTTGTCTTTTACTTTAAGTGTGTAAATGGATAGATAAATGTACTGTGTAAATGACATAGTACTATCGTATTATGATATAAATACATTAGGTGATTTTCAGGTGGAGCTTGCCTTTTTTATAATTGAAAATTTTAAAGTTATTTTACATTGTACATTTCTTTCTATTAATTTAT